TGATTCAGTCCTGGTTCAGCCCGGTATCACAGTTTAAGTCACGGAAACAGGAAACGTCTGTTCTCCGTTTTTTCCATTATTCATTTAAACACAAAATCAAAAACTGAAAAAACAAATCGTTTTCCATTTTTTCCATTTTGGTTTTGGAAACAAATAATGAAGAAAACTGTTGTATTTTCATTTTCTTATTTTTGGTTTTATTTTGAAAAACGAATGAACTAATGATACACGGATTTTATTGCTTTTCCTGAAATAGTTTATCATTAACCGTATCTGACTTTTTTGTTATGAAACATTCTTACTTTGCTTCACCAGATTTGACCTTTGACTTGGACTGATAGCATCATGTCCCCACAAAAATAAATAAGTGAATGCCATACTGTGGAACATTCTAGGCAAAGCAACAGGATTAGGGAAGGTTTAAAGTTATGCTCTGTCCTGGAATTTAACCTTTGTTTTCACCATCAAGCAAAAAAGCCATAGCAAATTATAATAACTAAATCAATAAATATATTCCCTTTTTATTTTACCAAGTGTATTACATTGTTACTCCAGAAAAACTACTATCTACTTTCATTTGAAGTATGGTTGACCACTTTAAACAGTTATTTTATCTGTGAAGATCATATCAATATATCTATTTCCCTGTACCAATTGTGAGCTTATCAGGTGAACGGTAGCACACGAGCCACAGCACAGATAAACTATAGGTGGCTGCTTGGACTCCCACTGAGAAGGCCTGGAACTAATTGCAGAGATATGTATCAGATCCCAGTGTTTGTCAGACAGAGGCAGTGATAAAACCATTGTGGAGAAAGCAGGAGCTCCAGTGGAAAGGGCCAGGGGTGCTCATGAAGATGGATGGTGAAGGGGTCTCAAAATGGCAGCCGGGGCACACGCAGAGGAAATAAAAGTGTTTGTGAGTTTGGGTTCTGAGTCAGTGCTAAACCAAACACACAAGACAAACGGTAATTTACAACGTGCATGCTGCTTAAAGGAGGGAAAGGAAGGGAAGGCTTTCTGGACAAGTACAGTTTACAACTACTAATACTACTACTGCTGCGACTACTACCACTACTAGTACTACCACAATGACCACCGCTACTGCATTCTGTCATTGCGACTCACTTGTCAATTCAAAAGCCAATTACCTCTCCAATCATCTTCAATACCACTACTTTTAATGGTAGTATTTCATTATTTGGACTACAAAAACTAGCAAAAGTTTTAGTTGTGCTACCATAACAAGTTGTAATTTAAGTTGCAGTAATAACTATTAAGTGGAACAGCTATTAGCACAAAACAGATGATAATAGATACTTAATTTAATACTACTCTTTATTCTGATATTTTATATACTAATGATGGAACACATTAGAACACAGGATTGCTCGAATGAAAGTACACCTACTACTACGACTATGTATACTATCAACACTCAGCAAAAAAACTTCATCTAATAATATCACCACTATCTGAAATAATATTTGTATCTACTTCTTCGGTTACATTTCTCGCTCTCCTTCAAACAGAGGCATTTTCTCCTTAACCTAAGAAGTCTTCCCACATTATCGCCATGTTTAATGACCAGTACTTAAACATTTGGACCATGACCGAGGAGCCAAATGTGAGGTGAAATATGGTTGTGTAGGACACCCCCTGCCTGTCCGGGCCCTCTCCGAACCCTGCTCCTCTGTGAAGGACATCTGGAAGATGCGTCATCGCAGCTGTTGTGGAGAGGCTTTGCTCTCAGGCCAAAGGGTGTCCAATCCCCCTGCCCCAAGATGGACTGTTTGGGCAGTGCTCTGGTCCAGCTGGTGGACAATATCACTCTCATTGAACAAACACAACATGCATGCAACATTAGCTAATAATTATATAGCTCTTTTAAAACGGTTTTTGTTTTTTATCAGATCTGACATAACAGGAAATGCTAACCTTTTAGTTGTCAGTTAAGATTTATAAGATTTATTAGTCATTGTTCATTAGTTTTAGACTGTAATGGCCCAAAATGATTTGAGATAAAAGATTTTTATTCATCTCGGAATGCCTCGGTTCTTCAATCTGTTCACACAAACAAGATAAGGGTACTCTAATGTTTTACAAGTTGATATTTTGTTATTTTTTTCTCGTGAATGTAAACTGGAATACCTGAGAAATTACATTACTGTACAAAGGACAACTCCAGCATAGTTCTTGTTATCTGCCCTGTGTTAATACACGTTTTAATACTCCCTACAATGCAAGCATAGCCAGACTTGAATGAAAAACTCACACACACAAGGTATTGAGTGTCCATGTCTCTACGTCCCTTACTGATGGTAAATAAACTGTGCTAGACATCCAGAGTCCCCTGCCTCTCTTTACATCTAATGGGCTACTTCAGTTATACTAAACAGACAAGACAGATTTATAGAAACTTTAAAATATATATATGTATGTCTTTCTTTTTCAGTGATGTTTCTACTATAGGGATATCCTCAGATACAAAAAGTAACCTGACTACAGCGAAAATAACCCTATGACACAATACAATCTGTTGCGAGCCAGAATGACATCCAAATGCTCTCTTGAGTTGGCTCATCAAATTGTAACTATAAGAATTATTTATTTTGGCTAGTCAAACATCTTTATTTACTACCCTTTCTTTCCTGAAAATTAAGTTTTGGTTGACCTTTTTGAGAGTTTCAAAGCCTTCACAAATCAGATTATGAGGAAAACAGCATTAACAAATTATAGCCATGACTTGAATTCCTCAGGTTTGCACATGACATCATTTAAGTCTATTATCCAACAGCAAAGACAAGAGCCACTGCCATTTCTTTACTCACTAGCTTGTCCCAAAAGATGTCTCATTCTCTGTAAATAAATCTAGCTAATAAAAGTACTGAATAAATAGTTGGTAAAGCAGTGCTGGCTTCAACTATGGGTGTTCTAAATCCTAAAGACAGTTCAAATAAATAAAGTAGATTATGCATCATTAAAGACTGTTTAATTTTAATACTATATGGATGGTGGTTTAGTATCACTCTTTAGTATAATTATAATTACTTACTGCTATGACTACTACTACTACTAGTATAATTCTACTGCTACTACTACTACTACTACTATATCAAAACTTAATAATAATACTCTTTCTACTGCCTCTGCAACAAGCATTATAACTGCAGCTACTACAAATACACAAAAAGTACACTGTACAAGTACAAATTTTGCCACCATCTTGTCTCTATAAGCATTTTATTTTGTTTGGTATATGGACTTTGTTTGGAATATTTCACAGTATGGCATTAAACATAATTGATTCTATGGAGAAAAGCAAAAACAAGGCAAAGTTACAAGTCAGATCTGTGGAGAGGCAACCTCAATCAATCTTTTTAAATATATTTTCAGTAAAAATAAATGCAAAATGTATAAATTGATTGACACAGGAGCTTTAAAAAAACAATGTATGTCTTTGTTACTGATGTTTCTACTATAGGGATATCCTCAAATACAAAAAGTAACCTAAGCAAAAATAATCATATCACACAATGCAATGCAAGGTATAATGTCGCAGGTGGTGGAACTTCTACCAGAAAAGTTGCATAATACATCTTTAAAAGTTATTTCTCCCACTCCAGATCCAGATCCATTTTCTCCCTGCTCTGAGACTGGACATCTTCAGACTACAGGCTTCAAGATGGACAAAGACATGTGTTGAATCAGTTATATCCTGACTGCATGTTTGCACTGTGATGAACACTTAGCATGCGGTGAGGACTCCGAGGAGAGCACAGGAGAGGGGGGGGGGCTTTGAATGATGTGGTAAGAGGAGAGGGGTGCCCCAGACCCAGCCGTTTTTTACTAGCGTCTGATTGATTAATGTTGTTGTCGGGGTATGGGGTCCCGGGAGAGGATGAGGAACCCTGTGTGATATGTGGAGGGTTTTACAAGCGGCGGCCAGCTTGAAAGTGCCGGGGATGAGATTCTGGCTAAAGGCCGAAATGAGAAATCCATCAGGAATGCGTTGGTTTTTCTCCCCTCCGTCCCGGCGAGAACAGCTGTTGCTATAACTCTACTGTACGGATCTGGGCCTGCTGTGGTACAAGCTCCTGTCACTCTGAATGTCAGACATGCTTTAGGGGCAGAGGGGAGAAAATGGAGTCTTAAGTGTGATGAAAATGAACATGTTTACGCACAGGGAATGGATGGACAGACGGTTTGTACACTTAAAAGCGAGCGTTACTTTTCTATTTCTATTTTCAATTTCTGTTGGTTTAATAAATGATTTTGAGAAACCCTGTGAGTTGTTTTAAGTCTAATGCTTCTTGTTAAAAATGCTCAAAATAGTGATTTGACCTGTTTGTGTTCAAGTGGTACTAATGGAAATATAGAACTGGAACCTGGAGTGACCATATCATTTATTGTCTAGTAGTACAGTATAGAATAATATACATGAATTTATTTTCCAAAATAGTTTTTCAATTTGCAGTTATTGTTTTCTGATTATAATAACACCAGTAGTCCTTTCTACAGCTTATATGCCCTTGTTACCGAATCCGTAACACTGCCCACTTAACTCCTACTAGTCCAAGTACAAACAGTGTAGTAGTTTCAGTTTATGCTATTAGGGTCAGAAATGTCAAAATCTCAGATACTAATCAATAATTAATTCAACAGGAATCAAAATCACATATAGTTAACACAATTTTACCTTTCCTGAGTCATCAGAACTGAACAATGTGTTGACGATTTCATTCTATATTCTAACAGTGTTTTTAATCATCATTGTGGTATCAAAATCGGTGTTATCGGGAGTGTCTTTATTGTTATTTATCTCGATTTTGATTGCATGTTCTTATTTTCCTGCCATTTTTGAACTTTGCATTGCAACACTATAAACTATGGTTTATCTAATCGTATATCCTATTACTTGTTTTGAACTTCTAGTATCATGACAAAACTCACTCCTACTATTATGTCATATTCCTGTCTCGTCCAGAGCAGTTCCTTACCTGGACCCTGGCCTCAGTGAGCTTGGTCCTCTGTGCTAGCTCCTCGCGGGTGTAGATGTCGGGGTAGTGCGTGCGTTCGAAGGCCTTCTCCAGCTCCTCCAGCTGTTCTGCGGTGAAGGTGGTGCGACTGCGCCTCTGCTTCCTCTTCAGGGGCAGGTCCGGCTCCGAGTCTACGTCCGAGCCCTCGTCTGTGCGGTTACCTGGCAAAAAACAGGTGGGTGTCATTCAAAAGTAGATTACTAACAAACAACAGCAAATGTGTTAGTCTAACTTCACAACATAGGGAAATGATTGATTACTTCAAATATTAGTACACCACACTATTTAAATTAGCTCACTTTCACATATTTCTTCTTAAACTGTAATACATAACACATAAAATACAATGAAGAGATTTGTCTATTAACACAACAATGCTATGACTTTTTTCACCTTAACTATTCACATGTTGCCATTTTGTTGACTTTATTTTATATCACTAAACTGTGTCATTTAGGCATTTACAAAGAAAGATTTAGTTCACTTTTAGCGGTCAAGTTCAATCTCTGTGCACTGTTTTTGAAGATCTTTGTTTTGTGTCTTTAAACATGAAAGCACAGTTCCACAGAGAAAAGGTGTTTATGAAATATCTCTGTGTACATGTAAGCAGGGCCTAAATCGTGCAATAGTGCATTCTGCGGTGCCGAGCTGGAGAGAAGAAAGGCAGACGGGCAACACAGAGGATTGAAGTGACAGCGACCCTTTCGTCAATATACACCAGGCAAAATATTATCTTAATCTGAGGATATTTATTTAGTATAAGAAGCCTGATATACAATCCCAGTCTGAGAGAGGGGCCCCTGAGGCTGGGGCCGTCCTGGGGCTGGGGGAGTGTGGAGCGGAGAGAGGGGTTAATCTGCGCGGGACACCTTGCTGCTCTTCACCCTGCCTTTCTCTCCATTGGCCCAGGGCACTACGCGGAGATACAGCCAGAGCCAAAGAGCATCAGAAAGAACACAATATCAGAGCAAAGCCCTCAGTCCCCTGTGTTTCTATCTGCTGTCATTAAATGAATTAGCACGTATTCCACGTTACTTTTTAGGCATTCAAGCGCTCTGAGTTTTTGCTCGAGGAACAGAGATAGAGCACAAAGCGGTACAATCCGGGCCGACAGGGAAATTTTTGACAGCAAATACGCATTACCATTATAACTGAATTTAGAAAATTGCATCATTTTAACCTCCTCTGCATGTCTATTCAAACTACATGGCCCTTTTCATTTTATGTCATAAAATTCATATTTTCATAATTTCCTCATTGAGACATTGACAGGGAACCGTGATGTGCCAGCGTCGCCTCGGGGTGCGTTGGATTGCATCATGAACAGTCCAGAAAGTGTGGGAGCGCCGAAAGAAAGAGAGATAGAGAAGACGCACAAGCAGCGGGTGTAAGGAGAGATTTGAATGGGAACTATAATACTTATACCTGAATGACTCTGCTCCCTACCATCCCTTTCATTGTTTGTGATCGCTGTTTATAGCCCATTCCAGTCAAATCCTTCAACACGAGTGGACAAAAGAATACTCCAACCTAGCCTCCAAATAACAACTGTGAGAACAAAAGAGCAACAGAGCTGGCAGCGTCTCAAGGCCAGCTCCAGAGTTTAATTAAACAAGGAATTATGGGATTATATGGAGACTATCATTACAGGCCACTCCAGCAGTCTTCCACGAACGTTTGTGTCCCCCCGCGCTCCGGCTCGATGGTTCTCCGAGGATTACATGTGGCTGCAGGACATGAGCCCGCATTCATTAAATCAATTCTTCAGTCTTATCCTTTTTTAATAAAGATTGATTCTTGAAGCGCAGTTCGCATGGGGCTGCAGAACACCCTTGAACATACAAAGTTGAATATGTACATACGCCTCATATCCCTTTGTTGGTTTTCATGACGATGCTATAGCCATTGGCACGATAACACGCCATGACAACACTAGAGACCGGCCTCTTGGTGCACAGATCACTTTCCAAAGTCACCTCTGTTCTGTGGGGAGAGACCAGACACAAGGGGCACCCATGGAGACGCAAGGGGCACCCATTGAGACAACAAAGTGTCCAACCAAATGTTTTCTTTAGGTTGTGGAACACTACACTAAAGTCTGACAGTGCTTTGCTTGACTGTGCTATTTGAGAACCCAACATGACTTCCAAATTGTACACTGGTTTTGCTCTGAGGGTGGTTAGTGCTTCTTATACAGCATGAAGGTTGTAGGTCCAATTTCTGGTCCCAGCAGCCACTTTATGAACACTGATGGTCTCTCCAAATACTTCTTGTCACTGAAAGATTTTTGGTGGGTTCATGCTTGTCCTGGGTTGATCCTGGTTTGTGTCCCATTTAGTCCTGATGTGGACTTGGTTTATTCCTGTTCTAATCCTGGTTTAGTCCCAGTTTTGATGCAGCGCGTGGGAATGTGTGAATGCACCCTTACTGAAAGGGTCACAATGGTGAGCTCACCCTGTACATAGTTTGAGGATCTTTGAAGGTTTTTAAGGTTTTTAGCCTAAATAAAAAAAAAAAAAACATAAACTCATTTTGTATTAGCTAAATCTGAGTGAACAAATATACAAGTCTGGACTGTTTGTAGTTGTTTCATTGAGTAGGAAAGAAAGAAATGTGGGTGCAGAACCTTTGTCTTGCTAAAACCAACCTTATTTGAAAGTAGATGTTAAAACAAAATGGAAATAGATAAAAAATATTTGTGCCCATACCAGCTTGTCAAAGCCTGATTCTCAGAACCTAACCAAGGCCGGGCCTGGGCCTGTACTTGGATGGGAGACCACTGAGAAAATCAGGTGCCACAGTGAGGCACCAGTTACAAAAACTATCATTGTGTCCTTAGGCAAGGCACTTCACCCACATTGCCTAGTATGAGAGTGTTGTGTGCGTGAGTGATGATGGTGGTTGGAGGGGCCGATGGTGCCAACTGGCAGCCTCGCATCCGTCAGTCTGTCCCAGGGCAGCTGTGGCTACAATAGTAGTTTACCACCACCGGGTATGGAGTGAATAAATAATGCTTTGTAAAAAAGTCTTTGTGATATATATTTGTGAAAAGCACTATATATATATATATATATATATATATATTAATATATTATAATATATATATATATATATAAATAATAAACTAAAACATCTAATTTACATGCAATAAACATATGAACAAATTTACATGCTTTGTATTTAAATTATTCTGTGACAGTTGCTTCAAATGCTTCTTGAACCCATAACCAAGTAAATAGTGCAATAGTCAGAGCCCAGTTCTAATCAAGCTAAATGGCTGTAATGTTTATACTAGCATGTCAACACACTAACTGTCACCTTACAAGCTAACCAACACATCCAACCCATGTCACAATTAGCATGCTATCAAGCTAATGACTGATAAACCTCTACAGACAAAAGAGCGCACGGCTGCTCCCCTTAAGCCCCACAGATCCTACACATGTCCCTGGTACGCTGCTCAAAAGCACAAGGTCAATGGCAGTTCCTCTAATGATGAAGGGAACATGGCGGCGCAGAGGGCAGGCAGGTCAAGGCGAGATGTAAAGCTCATATAAAACCCATCTATATGCTGTGAACTGGAGCTGAGGGAGAAATGAGAGATTTATAACAACACATGTCAGCTGTAATGGGCTATCTGAGGTGATGCTATGTGGGTTTGGCTGTTGTTTTTGAGTACTGCCTTCAAAAATTTGTTACGGGCAGTTGAATACCAAAATACTGTGTCTATAATGTATCAGTACTGACAAGGTTTTGAAACGTATCAATTCTAATGCAAAAATTGACACACTTAAAATCTCTCAAAGTAAGTATATCTTTAATCAAATTATATTTTTAATACATTGCTTATACATTTGAATTCATCTGCATAACATTTTGGATCAGTTCAAGCTGGGGTGGAGTGAAAACAATGATAATCAATACGCCAAGGTAAGAAGAGTAGTTTCAGTGCATTTTAATACAAAACACATTGGTTTAGGTATCGGATCAATATCGCAACTTTCTAACACTACTACTTGTTACTGAATTAAAACAAACATGACTCATATCTAAATGTATTTGTATAGTGATTCAAGCTTTTGGGAGTTTTTTGTGCAGGTTTCAAAAATGGATAAAATAATAGCACCAGGCCCATATCACACTATTTTATTTTCCATGTTATAATGCTGTTTCCTCGTCAGAAACATACCTGGAGTTGTGTTTTGTTCTTTTCACACAGGTGTAATGCACAAACCCTGCATATTTAGGCCAAGTTCTTCTTTCAGACAGAAAACACTCTGTTCCACCTTGTGATGTCATGTGGTATTACAGGAAGTGCTCCACTGTGTTTTTTATACTCCATATACCTTCACTAGAATCATTTGGATTTAGCTGTTAACTTTTAAACTATCACTTCATGACATCACAAGTTGCAACTGAGCATTTTGATCTTTGGAGATGCAGACATACTGATAATAAAGGATTATTAAGACATGTGTGAATGAAACGAAACACAACTTCAGGTATCTTTTTCAGGAAGTATTATAACATGGCTTCAAGCTCACAAGAATCCATTTTGTGTAATATAGGACCTTGAGATAGCCAATGACTAGCAGGCTGTTTGGGACAATACTGTCATATTCTCCCCATTACAAATAGGTGGTTTCTAATTAAACCCAACCATAATAGTGATGGTGTAATTCCATTCAGAGGGTGCAGGGGATATCGATAAAGCGTTCATGGCCTGGTTCATTACTTATCTCCCAATTACAATCTCATTATCCTCCTTCCAGTTGGCGCCATTACAGCCGTGTACTCTCCTTCAGGGGCCCTCCGAGGGTTTGGGGTATTGATTTTGAATTAAAAATAAGACTGAATGAGGTTAAATCACTGCTTTGTCTGGGTAAAAAGAGGGAGATAAGACAGGTTATAAGTGAAAATTACCTGAAATTACCTGCAAGTAAAACAAGATACAAGGGGTATTTATTGTGATTTTGTGGGAAAGCTCACGATATGGTGGGGAGGCTCATAATTAGGGATGTAACAATATCCAAATCTTACGGTACGATATTTGTTGTGATATTTTGTGGCGGCAAAACTCTGAATATGCTACTTTGTCCTCTTAAAATGCCTTGACAAGATTTAATCCAAAGAACTAAGACTTAAAAGTGCTTAGAGCTAT